TCAAATAAATAAATAAAATCTTTAAAAAAAAAAAAAAAGTCCAAAGAAGTCATGTATCAGCCAGCAGTAAGGAGGTGCTATTGCTATACTCACTCATCAACACTACCTAGCTAAAGCTGGTATTGAGCTCTACGTCCTCAGCAACACTCTGCCATCAATGTGCTAATACACAAAAATCATTCCATGAGGTCAGTAGACCTTGGAGATATGCTGGTATAGTGTGATGTGATAAGCACATCCAATTACATACCAAGCTAGAGATCTAGAAAAAGATGCTTGTATCCCAACTTTATTATTACTGTGAAACTTGGCTCTATCTCTAAAATCTGATCTCTTTAGCACTCATCAGCAGTACTGAAAAACCAGTCTCAACATAAAGCATTAGGACAGTCCCCACAAGGGCCACTATTCTAGCATGTTTGTTAATGCTAAAGTCAGATACACTATTCCTTAACTCTACTGGGCAGAGCAGGTGGACAGTGGGCAACAAGAAGATTCCTAAGCAGTTAGTGAATGGCAACAGCAATAAAGTACTAAAACTGTTTAACTATCAACCTTAGAGAAGTTGACAACAGACATTCCACAAAGACTTACAGCAATCGAAAGAAGAGAAAGGGAGATGAAGTCTTTAAGACTAACAGAGCCACAAGCAGCAGCAGAATCCATCAACCAGGGCTACATGGATTAACCAGAAGAATGCATATGTTCTTTGAGTGCCCAGAGTAACTACCTTCTCAGCTACAAGTGTAGAGGCAGGGTAATATTACTGACAGGAGCAGCATATTCTGTTTTCAAAGTGAACAATAACCTGTGCATAAGAAAAACACATTCCATTTTGGGCACATCCCAGAAACTCCCAGAAACCTAGGACTTAAAGAAGAGGAAGGTCAAAAAAATAAAAATAAAAAAAGGGTAGCAGACATGAAAGAAAATTAATAAGCTGCTTCTCTTCCTAGGTAGGAATTTTTGAATGCTCCAACTATATTTAGTTTCTAGACTGAAACAGTGGATATTTAGTGTCCTGAACAATGGTGTAACTGGAGGGATGAATGTGATTTGGAGGGGATGACCTGGGAGGTGGGAAAAGTTGGCACGGTATGTAAACTGCTGGACAGGAGAAAAGGGAAAGTTACGTTTATGTATCAGAAAAATGGGGTAAAACTTAGTTTTGAATCTTACTAATTCAGATGTGCCTTTGAACTTACCAGATAAAGGGCATTAGTATTGGAGAAAATGAATAAAATGGTAAATTGGAACATCCTGACTGTTAACTTGCCAGGCAGCTGACCTGGGGTGGGGGTGGTGATGCAAATTACCTCTGCCGTCAGCCCACATAACTGGTCACCAGTGAGGAACCTGCATAAGGGAAATCCTACCTTACAGATAACCTTGGCCATTTCAAAGGTGCCCACAGTATCCATATTGGCAGCAATGATGGGGATCCCAGTGTACATCTGCTTTGAGTTCCGAAATGAAAAGGATCTTGTGAGCTCCACCTGAGATACGAACAGGAAAAAGCATTTCATTCATCAAATAAATGAGTACTGAATGAGGACAAGAACCAGAAATCCCTCTCAGTCCTGCCCCACCAGGAGCTTGGGGTCAAGAAAGTAGAACTAGGAAAGTAGGCTCACCTCACTTCGAGATTTAAGGGTACTGCGTTTGGGCCTCAACAAGACATCCTTGAAGTCCAGTTTGATGTCACTGTCGATATGAGGCATGGCGGGGACCGTGGGGTAGCAACAAATCCGAGAGCTGGAAGGTAGAAAAAGTCAGGTGGCGGGATCTGAACCAATCTCCCCGTAGGCCTTAATGCCCTGTTACAGGAAAGGCATGGCCCATCTCTGGCCTTGCTTAAATTATGGAAGGTCGGGCATTGGCTGAGGCATGGTCACTGAAGACTGTCACCTCCGATCCGTCCTATGGTTGCAATGACCCGTAGTATCTCCATCCCAGGTACTATCTGATGGGGAGAAGAACTGGACTGGAGTCGTGAATGACCCCCAAAATGTGTATTCCTTAACCTCACTACTCTTCCTTCTCCCACCCTTGCAAAGAGCAATTTGGGGTAAGTAAGGCTGATTTGGGGGTGAGGAGGACTGGGGGAGATTCCCACAACTAGTTTCCAGAATAGCGGTACTCACTTCCTGTCGCCGTGGCCCAGGTGACAGTTGACTACCGTCACCCTTGCTTAGCAACTAGCCTCGTGCAGCCCCGCTGAGCCTTGTGGGCCACACCAACAGGTTCCGCCAATTGCGGGCGAAAAGGATAAACGGAAAATCCCAGTTTCGGCAGCGGCCGTGCGAGGCCTTCTGGGTAACAGAGTTCACACACCGAGGTTGCAGTTGGATCCGAGGGGCGAAAGACTACGACTCCCAGGGTGGAACGCGCGGCGCTGTCCCCTGGCATGATGGGAGAAGTAGTTCGTTCCGACCCTGCTTTCCAAGCCCCGGCTCGCTAGGGACTCTAAGAATCGCGGAGGCGTCATCTCCGCTGTAACTAAACCGCCGCCTTCTTTTTATTTACGACGCCACCAAAACGAAACGCAGGAGCGTTCCTGAGCCTTTCGGGAACCCCGTGGAAAGAAGGTGGGGGGAGGGAGGGGTGGAGCCAGGCAGTGACCCGGAAGCAGAAGTGACTCCCACAAGCGGATTGCTGGGGAGCGGCAGCGGCGACCACAGCGGTAGAAGCAGCAAATTATCTGCGTGCAGCTCCAAACTGGGAAGAAGATGCTAATTAAAGTGAAGGTGGGAGCACCTCCAGCCTTGCCAAGACGCTGTGGTACTGGGCTGGCCGCTGTGCCTTGCGGGAGAAGCGGGGAAGGAAAACCACGCCTTTCCCGAGCCAGGAGGGTGCTGACAGCCTCAGGGCTCCGCGCGAGGGGTGATGGGAAGTAGGGGGGCCCAAGGCGGCTTTGAGGGCTGGGGACTGGTCCCGCCAGACGACCCCGGGGCCTCTGCGGGTCCTGCTTTCTCGCCAGGACTGTGCCATGACCCAGAAGGAGGCCGCCTTTGTCCGGGGTCTCGCTGTACTCGAACCCCCGCAGTCATAGAGAAGGCCAAGCAGCAGTTTGGCTCTCTTTCTCGGAATCTTGGAATAAGCTGTAATCTCCATTCTGCATTGCCCTCCTTACCTGCTTCTCCCAGCCCCTAATGCAGCTGCTTCCAAGCACAACACAAAAACGTTAGCTTGGGGAACCTGGGGCCTCTCAGGAGCTAGACTGTAAGCCTTTGCTGGTTGTCGCCAGTGTGCGGTATCTCAGCCAGCCTTCAGGAACCAGAGCTGGGAGTGTGTTCAGTCAGCACCTGCCTTTCTGAGCCGGGCCTCCTGGACTAGCCTCACTTCCTTGGCTGAGGCAGGTTAGTTATCCGTGCCCTGGTTCTTGGTACTAGCAGCGTTTCCTTCATCTCCAAGTCTCCCGCGGTTCCTCACCGATTCCCAACCCTCATTAGTCCTATCTGCTATTGCTTCTTTCGTACCTTCGGACAGAGAGACAGAAACTAAAAATTGACGCAGTGCAACGCTAGTTTGGCCTTTTTGCTGCTGAGTAAGTTTGTTATTTCATCAGCTCTTTAGTGTGTTTACGGTGGTTAACAGCCATTCTTAACCTCTTCAGTCTTTCCAGACCACTTCCTAGCTGAGGATTGAGGCCAAAGAGCATGTTAAAGATCATGGTTTTTCAAACTTTGAGTAGTGACTAAAAGAGTCACTAATTGTAAAATCAATTGAATGGGTCGCAAGCAATATTAAAAGAAAGAAAATAGAAATATCAGGGTATTGTTTCACGAAATTTTTGTTTTCATTTTATATGTATTAAACACATGTATGTGTTATTAGTACATATGTATTTCTTAGTGTGGGTCACTGTCAAAGTCTGAGAAACACTAGAATGCTTTTGGATATGGATTCTCACATCCTCTTAGTCAAAGAGGAGGTTTTTACTCTGAGTTCAGGGTTTTGTAAACTTTTTTTTAAAAAAAGATTTTATCTATTTGAGAGAGCATGAGCACAGCAGGGGAAGGAGCAGAGGGAGAAGCAGGCTCCTCGCTGAGCAGGGAGACAGACTTGGGGCTCCGTCCCAGGACCCTGAGATCATGACCTGAGCTGAATGCAGACGCTTAACCGACTGAGCCATCCAGGTGCTGGGTTTTGTAAACTTAAAAAAAAAAATCTCAACCTACACTAACAAATTTTACCTCATGTCGCATACAAACAAAAACTTACCATGTGTGATATGCTCTGATATTTCCAGTTCTGTTCTAAGTCGATTTCATAACCCACTGATGGGTTGAGACCTACAGTTTAAAAAAACAGTGTGTTGTGGTTGGACTTCTCAGTTTGAAAGCACTTAAGAATCACCTGGGGATCTTGTAATGCTGATTCTAATTCGGTGGGTCTGGGATGAGACCTGAGATTCTGTATTTCTAACCTGCTCCCGGGTGATGCTGATGCTGCTTGTCTGGGGACTACGCTGACTAGCAAGGTTCTAGATTTTGTCTCTTTGAATCCATTTTCATTTGGTGTTTCTCTAAAATTGTCAGTCTCCTTTCCTGAAACACTTTCCTTTGTGCCTCCGCAAACAGCTTTCTGTGTCCTTCATCTTTCTCTCTTTTGTAGGCTGCATTGTTTTATGATGTTAAGTACGTATGAAAACAATTAGCTCTTCCATTACTATACAAATGATAGGTTTTATTAGCAGGGTTTCTTTGTGAATTCTTCAACTGTCATCTTCATGTAGCTGACTTTTTCCATATCTCTTTCTGCAGTCCTTTACAACAAAAACTCTCCTGATTTAAATCTTCTCTTCATGCCTCATCTCTGTCTTTCTAAAATTAAATACATCATCTTCTGCCTTAGGCCATCTTCCCAGTATTCATCTCGTATACTGATCCCGTCAATCTACCAGGTATCTGGAACTCAGTTCTTTAGAGTCATTGTTCACTTTTGAACCTAATTTTTCCTTTGATAACCTCTTTTTTACTTGATTTTCTTTCCATTCCCATTACCCTTATTCTGGTCTAGGGTCTCATTAATTGATATCTTTATTTCTCTGTAATACCTCCAACTAGGTTTTCCTACCATGTACCCCCCTAACTTTTAAAGTCTAAGCTTGAGACACGGCATACAAAAAATCATAGTGTACATGTCCTCTTTAAATTTGTCATCATAGTATGCCCTGACCCCACATCCGGCATCAAGATCTAGAACATTTTCACCCCTACCCTGTTACAATTCGATAGGTTAGTTTTGCTTGTTTTTTGAATTTCATATAAAAGGAATTATAGAATATATAATTCTGTGTCTGGGTTCCTTCACTCAGCATTGTGTTTAGTTGTCGTATCTGTGTAGTTCCTTCTTATTACTGTGTAGTATTAATGCTGGATGACTATATCACAATTTGTTTATCCATTCTCCTGTTGATGGATGTTTGGGTTGTTTCCAGTTTCTGGCTATTAGGAAGAAGGTTTCTATGAACAACATTGTTATACAAATCTTTTTTTTTTTTAGATTTTTATTTATTTGAGAGAATGAGCAGGGGGAGTGGCAGAGGGAGAGAGAGAAGCAGGCTCCCCGCTGATGCGGGAGCCCAATGCGGGCTTGATCCCAGGACCCTGGGATCATGATCTGAGCTGAAGGCAGATGCTTAACCAACTGAGCCACCCAGGAGCCCTGCACAAGTCTTTTTGTAGACATATGTTCTCATTTCCCCTCTATAAATACCTATTAATGGAATTACTGGGTCATGTGGTAAATATATGTAAGTTTAAAACTGCCAAACAGTTCTCCAAGGGGTTTTACCGTTTTACATTCCCACTTGCAATGAATAAGCATTTCAGCTGCTCTCTACCCTAGCTAACTTTTAGTCATGTCCATCATTTCTATTTTAGCTTTTATATTTGTATATTATTTATATATATATACATTTATATATTATTTATAGTGGGTGTGAAATGTTAATTTCATTCAGGTTTAAATTGATGTGATTTTCACCCACCATAGCACTTTGTCATCATATCTTGTGTTTGGATAGTAATATTCAATATGGCATTTCCGTTTATATTGGTTTGTTCTATTAATTTTTTTTTTTAAGATTTTATTTACTTATTAGACAGCAAGGGAGAGAGAAACAGCATGAGAAGGGAGAGGGTCAGAGGGAGAAGCAGGCTCCCCGCTGAGCCAGGAGCCCGATGTGGGACTCGATCCCAGGACTCCGGGATCATGACCTGAGCCGAAGGCAGTTGCTTAACCAACTGAGCCACCCAGGCGCCCCTGTTCTATTAATTTTATGTCTCATTGTTTCTTGGTTGTAAATCTTCACTTGAAAAAGATGGTTTGCAAGGGCTGCATCACTTATTTCTTTTATATCCCCTCCAGTGCCTAAAGCAGTATGTTGGGCTTAGGTTCATCATTGACTTGCTAAACAGCATGGAATGTATTCCTGGTCACAGTGACCAGATTTGGAGGAAGAAATGCAATATCAAGAGTATCTTTTTAAAATTGTTCACGTTGTTACTTTGAATTTTAATTATGGACAATTTCAAACATATTCAGCAGGAGAGAGAAGGATATAATGCACCTCAGCTTCAAAACCTATCATCTCAGGGGCGCCTGGGTGGCTCAGTCATTAAGTGTCTGTCTTCGGCTCAGGTCATGATCCCAGGGTCCTGGGATCAAGCCCTGCATAGGGTTCCCTGCTCAGCGGGGAACCTGCTTCTCCCTCTCCCACTCCCCCTGCTTGTGTTCCTGCTCTCACTATCTCTCTGTCAAATAAATAAATAAAATCTGTTAAAAAGACAAAACAAAAACCTATCATCTCATGGCCAATCTTAATTATACTCACCAACTCTCCTTACCTGATGTCATAAGAAGCAAATCCCAGATAGCATAGCATGTGTTATTTGTATGTATTTCAGTATTTATCTGTAAAAAAGGACTCTTCTTTTTTTCTTTTTTTTGCTCGATCCCAGGACCCTGGATCATGACCTGAGCCGAAGGCAGACGCTTAATGACTGAGCCACCCAGGCGCCCCCAGTCTTAGAGTTTTATTTTATTTATTTATTTTTTTTATTTATTTG